CCAAAACAAGAGTTTAGTCTATAACAAAATTTTGAATATGAGTTTGTACTTCTCTTTTAGTTTTTAGTATAATAAATAGATTTTATTACTAGTACTAAATAGATTTTGTTAAATTCTAATTCTTTTTAAAATTACTCAACATTTATTACTAGCACTAAATAGATTTTGTTAAACCACGATGTGATAAACAAAAAGTTATATCATCGTTACAGCATATTGTATAAATGTTGTGTTGACTAAAATGTTATTTATTGAATATTAGTGTCCTTTTATATTTTATATTTAAATCCTAAAACATTTTGGTGAAAGAAGCCTAGTTGTTATCGACTATCTATGGCAACCAATACACTAGTTTTGGCTGCTTCAGCATTCAGCAGTAGAGATTATTGTCTTCATGGCGACTTAATACACAATCAAACACGTTATTAGTACACATGATGAAGAGCTTGAACTTTGCATAAAGGGATTGCATAGATCAAGTTCCACCCTTTTCCTTTTAAGCCATCATATATCCACCATGTCCGAAAGCTCCATAAGCCAAGTTCCCCTTGTCATTGCCTGAACTCTGAACATGAATCCCCCTTACTAGCCGTCTAGCACAAAACAAAATCAAAACATCGCATTTAATCCCAACATGCTATGACCCAGAATTGCAAATTCAACGCTACCACGAGAAAGCCTACCTTGGACACCTTGCTTCATGCCTTCAATATACATCGTCATCGTCATTGTAGACCGCACCATTCAATTTTGCACTTGACTCTTAATAATTAATTTGATCCTTATTGCCACTGGATCTAATGAGTTTTGGTGACCTTGACGATGTAGTTTAGGATATTGATTGATAAATTAAAGGTAATTTTTTATTATTAATTAGAATGCACTACAAATCATAAAAAAAGGTGTAATAATGTTGTTATTTAATAATTTTTTACGACTTTTGATTTTAAAATTTATTATTATTGTTATTATTATTATCACTTAATAAGTTAAATGCGTCTACTTCTAATTAATTAATGCGAGGGACCAAAATTTAAATTCAAGTTAAAGAAGGCTAAGAGAAAAATTGCCAATTTTTAAATGAATTATACATTTATACACATATTCAAGCGTTAAGGAAATAAGAAGAGAAAATTTGAACATGCCTATTAATGAAATCCCAGCATTGAAAAAACGAGTAACTTACATAGGAAACAAATCTGAGAGAATGCAATCTTGAATTCCTTCTGCCTTCAGGCAGGTTGACTAATCACCAAGATAAAGCTTGAGTTTTATTGCTACTTCTCAACGGTATTATTCGTCTTACTGTTATTCTAAAGTAGTTAAACATCGCTACTTGTCAACAGTATTATTCGTCTTACTATTTTTCTAAACTGGTTACATTTAATTAATACCTTATAACTATTTATATAGGTTTTAACTAACGCGCTAAATACATAGGTATAATCATTGGGAGTTTATATTGTAGGCTCGTAGGCCTTGTAAACTAACTTGTGGGTACCTAAACTTTTTAGTTGACGACATATATTTCATGATGCATATATCATCTAATTGTCTCAACAACCTATATATGGATGGATTAAAGCTCTCCTCGGGGTCGACATTGCCAAATTTCTACTCTTCCACAAACAGAATTGATATTGTAACATCGATTATAAGACAAATTCAGCACAACTTTGATCAGAACCTAGTGATCAGAACTAATCATTATATTCCATCTGTAAAGAAAATATACATATATATGTTCAAGTATTATGTGTATGAATCTAAATATAATTAATTACTAACAAAGCTTTCAAATGGAAGATTTACATTTTGCAACTTCAATATATTGCAATCGTAATAGTGTTTCCAGAACTGCTACTAAATTTGTAATCATTACCGCACCAGAATCCTACAATTCCAATTGGAACTAGTTTAACAATTAATGAACTATAGCTTCTGATAACTCCCAAACTGTGGCTGCTTAATAACTAATTAACTAGTACCAATTACCAAAATATACCTCCATAAACTCATTACTTTTCCTTTTGTACTGTTATCCATGGTCTACAAAAAAAGAAAATAAATCCAATTGAACTACAAAAATTGAATGTTTGAAACCAAAATAGCTTCATAAGTATTGGGTTCTCGAGAATCAAGTCATTTTATTTGATTTGGGACTATGTATTTTGTGTTAATACGTGCATTTGTAGCATAAAACCTCTACCTACTTCAAATAGCAACTGACTCGCAGAGAATACAAATTAATAACTTGAGACCATAAAACCAAACTAATGACAAACTAAACAATTACAGTCGTATCACAATGTTACCTCTAACATGGAATTATTTTCAAAGATCTAAAATTTATGAAACTGCTATAAAAAATAAAATTATAGACGTATTTATATTTAATGTGTCAAGGATGTACATATAGGTATTAAATATGGTACTTGTTAATAGCAAAAAATATGGTACTTGTTGACCAAAAACAAATACGGTAACCAGAGAGAGACTTGAAAGCACCTTCTAAGTATACATAGGAGCCCAGAATGATCCTAATGGACATATGTTTCCTCCTAACACTCGAGTGCTTAAATCTAAAAGTTACTTTAAAGTGCACATAATTGGATTGATTGTTTCCATCTTTGGCAAATTTGCCTAATAGATTTTTCGTGAGACCAAAGTGACAAGTTTTAGACCAATGTGATAGCAATTGATCAAACGATCGAAAACCCTCTCCCCAAAAAGGAAAAAGAAAACAGAAGCTCAATACTTGAAATGACAAAATTTAGTATCAAACTCGTGTTAAAAAGCGAAAGTATGGTCTAGATCGTTGAATTAATCATGGAACAGATAAGCTCAAAGATATTGATTTAAAATTGAGGAGACAGCAGAGTATCCGATGATTTATAAGTTAATCGACTTGCATTATGCACCTATAAATGTGGGACATCATTTTACATATTTGTTGGTGATATATTGCATTGATTGTGGAAAAGTTTTTAGTCTCTCGACCAACTTGATTTTCTTTTCCCATTTCAGTCACTCAAGTCCTAACTTATTGGAGGCCTATCTCACTTATTCATTCATGATTGTATACATATACGCGTACATTCATACATACTTGTATACATATATGTATTTATATGTATGTGTATGCAGAAATTATTATGCTTATGCTATATATTCAAAATGTTATATGGTCGCCATGTATGTACGTACATATAAATATATATACATGTATGATATATACATGGTCAAGAAAAATAATTATTAGATAAAACAATCATTTAATTACCATTCATATTTTAGTCTTTAATACAATCATTTACTTTATTAGATAAAGCAATTATTTAATGACTAAATCTTTGGAATACCAGCAGTAAGTACAGAAATTACGAAAGCTGAAGAATACCGTGCATCAAATACACTGCTTGGAAGAAATTTCAAAGTTATTTTCACCAGCATGCTTGATACTTTACTGATGCAACCTCATAAAAGGTGAATACAGTAGAAGAACTTACCCAATATTAACTCAATTTCTTCCTGAACTTCAGTCTAAATCCTCATTCAAATAACCAAACATACTCCTTGACAAATAAAGAGACGAGGGAGAAAGGTTTAACTTGACCCAAGGATATTGATAGAGTCAAATATAATGACAATTTCAGGACTGCAGGTAAGGTTATAATACATATACAAGGTCTAGTAACAGATCAGGACTTTGAAATTGTTGGAAGACCTGAAATCAATCAAAGCAGAATAAAAATCAAATGCATTTAGAGATTATTTTGCCAATAAATCAAGTAAATATTACTAATAAAGATAAGCTCCACAGTATGGTTGCTTATAAACCATTTATGGGATAAAACATCTAACATGATAATTTTCAGTTACAATAAATCATAGAAGATAAAAGATTTGAAAAAAAAAAAAAAAAGCAAGATTGAAGATATAGCACCGTCATGATGCCTTTGCACTGGTGTTTGGTGGCGGGGAAGAGTTCAGTGTAATTCATGTACGGAGGTCAGATATACATTTAGCAGCACAGAAAAAAAAGGAATTTTATATATAAAAATGTGCAATACGAATATGAAGAGAAGAAACGAAATCATTAGAATAAGACAAAGCTTTATGAAAACTAGAGACCTGGGGTTAGGAAACCTGCAGTCTCAAACAAGAAACTCTCCAAACACCATGTAATTTCCAATTCCCTTAGATCTTGAATTGAATTTGTTTTACAATAAATTTTGGAATATACTTACAGTAAAATATATATATCAATTAAATTTTCAATTCATAAATATTATATTATCAAAGGAGTAAATTATCAATTTCTGGAAGAAAGTGGAAATCAGTAAAAGCAAACTTGTACATACACGTATAAAATTTATATTATATAAGCACGATAGAAATGTTAGGAAATTCAGAAACCACAATAACATCGTCCTCTTGCATGTGATGTGAGAAAGGACAAATAGTGAATGGGTGGGAAAGCATTCCACAGTCCCTATAATAAGCTCATTAAGTCAAATGTACGTACGTAAAAACAAAATAAAACCAAGGTAAAATAATTACGCACTGTTATTATGCCATTTACCAAAGATATATACGAGATTTAGGGTTTTAGAAGCTCATGTACTAGGGTTTCCAATGAATGAAATACAACATGCACTATAGGGTGAGATAAAAAATGATCCTATAACACCTTTAAATGAACCTTTATGGGTTTGATGAAATTTCCTTTACAAGAGAAATCTTGGTTTAGAAAATTCAACAGGTTGTAAACACTCAACTAAAGAAGTTGTTGTCCATATTAATGATCTTGTTAATTGTTCGATTATGCTTTTATGATGCACACAATAATGTCAATGGCTCAAACAGCACCAAGTCTTTTCCATGTCAACTTCTGAAAATAGCAGCAAATCTATAACAGTAGTAAGTAAGAAAAACGATTTACCATAATTACTATTAGGCTGAAGAAGAAGCCAAAGACAAAGAGAGACTTTTAAATTTTACTGGTGAAAAGGTAAGTTTGAGCTATCCCCGTTGGCCTTGATGAGATTCCTCTTCTTCTTTTTCTTCTTATAAGGGATCCCTCTTGCCTTTGCTTGAGAATCTCGAACCTCATGAAGATAAACTCTTATGGCACCACTAGCAAATGGGTTAGTCTCAGGTAAGCCTCCATTTTCTTCATATGCAGCTCTTAGCCTTCCAATGAGAGCATCAAGACTTCCCCAAGCTTGTTTAAGGGGGCAAGTGCAAGGACCAAGGGGCTCAACTTGACCAAAGAAGAGACAACCTTGCACATGCACTTTTGTTTTCCCAAATTGGTCCAAGTACCTTAGGAAATCAAGCACCTGGTTGGAACTGCACTGTGAAAGTGCCACAGGAGGCCTTTGGTTCCTCAAGTACTGTCCAAAAGTGTTCCAATCCCTCCTCTTTTGAGATTCATACCTGCTCAGAGGTTGTTGTTGCTGTTGTTGCTGTTGTTGATGATGATGACGATGATCAGATGCAGCAGCAACTAAAGACGATCTTGATGATCCCTCTGCTATGTCTTTTCCTTTGCTGGACATGACTATATTTTACTGAGGATAATTCATATAGTTTATTTTCTTTTTGTGAAGTAAGAAAGAAAGGGAAGGTTTTTTTTGGGAAGGGAGAAGAAGACAATAGAATGGCTGTGGAAGAAAATGACAAAAAAATTTTGGAGATCAGTGAGGAGACATGGTATGGGACCAATGAAAGTGCTTTAGCCCTTCTTCTTTTTCCCTTCCCTACATTATCTTACTTTAATGGTACTATTAGCATTAACCATACTTTATAATTTTGTTTCCCCTTAATTTTTTTAATTATTGTGCTTCCATCATCAAAGGTGTCGTTATTGAGTAACTTAGCGTAATTAGCACTATGGTTATTCCTGATGACCACTTAATATCAGTCTAGTTCTTCTAGCATTTAGGGGCTTGTTGGCCACGTAATAGCAAATTTTGGGGTTAGAAGTTAAACTTAATGGCTTCCGTCACCTATTCTATAACTCAATGTAAAGGCAGAGAAGTATGGTGTTATATCTCTTTCACATGGTCATGAAGCACAAAGTTTTTTAAATTATATTACCTTGTACCTTTTACTATAAAAGGAAGTCGAACCAAAATTTAAATAAAAAGTAAAGGATGAATAATTAAAAAAAAAAAAAAAGAGTGTTTTCTAGTAGGTCATTCGGCACATGGTATGAAAAAATTTAATATATATCTTACTAAATGCTTTAAATTATTAAAAAATAAGTTTCAAATTTATATTTGTAATATAATTTTTTTAGCATTTTTTTAATATTTTTCTTCTTACCATATGTCCAACTTTAAAAAAAAAAAATCTTTTATTGTGTGTTTCTTAAAAGAATAAATTTCTGCGTTTCTCCCACCCTTTTGAAGGGGGAAAAAAAAAGTGAACAATGATTTTAAGTGGAAAAAGGGTTGTTACCTGCATAATTGATCAAAGTATCTTAATAAAAAATATTATGATATAAAATATTATATATATGGTTGAGGGTCCGTACCGCACCATTTCAACACCTAATTTCTGACCTAATCATGATATCTATAATCATCGGTCTAATTACATGAAAACGCAGGTGACCAGCAAATTTAATTTTTGTTCCTGATTTTTCGTTTATGAAATATGTTTTATGATTAGAAGTAACTTTTTCATTATTTTTTCCCAACTATATTTACTAATCAAGATAACTTTCGTTTTCGACTTGAATTCCTACACTTAATTTTCGTGGTCTGCTATATAGGTTAATTTACTTTGATCCAAGGTATATCCAAAGAGTTGAAAAAAAAGTCAAATTTATTAATATTAGATGTGAAATTAAATATTTATCATGTTTAATAACATTTTATAAAATAAAAAATTAATGAATAGAACCATTGATTTAAATGTTATTATCAAATAAATTAAATTTTATAAATTAATAAATAATTCACTATATTACTTTATTTTAACGAGTAATATATTTTAAAAATATAAATAAATGTTAAATTATGATTAATATATTTATAAACATTCATACATAACTTATGTGTACATAGAGAGAGAGAGAGAGTTAAGTTCTGTTGACACTTAGTGTTGAACTTAGACACTCACATATAAAATTTTATATAAAAATAAATAAATATTTTATTATTTTATTTTATTTTAATGAGTAATATATTTTAAAATTATAAAAAAATATTAAATTTTAAATAATTTACTTACAAATGTCTAAATTATAAAAAAAATTAATGTATATGATCATGAAGATAATATAAATTTATTAATCTTGCATTATATAAAAATTATTGAGTAGTATAATCATTTAAATTTAATATCTTACATTCTTTTTTTTATAACATGTACTCTTCATACATTATTGGTCATCTTTTTCTAATCTTTAATCTACATCTACTTCTCTTTATTTTTATCTTTTTATCTATTTTTTTCTGCTTCTTTTTTCTTCTTTATTCTTTGTCTTTCAAACATCGCGTGGTAGAGGGTGATGTTATCACCACTCAAAGAAAAACGTTACTGATGCCTTAAAATAAGGCTTCACAAAAAAGGTGTAGTAAGTGGTGCTGAAAATCTTATAAGCATTTAAGACAAATTTAAAATGAAAAAGATTAGGCAAGTTAATCGAGTAGAAAGGAAAGATTCTTGACGAGGAAAAAGGGGAGGAAACACAAATTAAATATCTAAGGAATAATTTTGAAAAGGAAGAAGAAAAAAAATATAAAGATAAAAATGGAGGAGAGGAGAGTCAAACAATAAACAATATACAAACAATATAACACTATGCCAAAAAAGAATAATGAGAGGAGTTCCGTCTTAAATTAGAAAGCATTTAGAACTGTTCTAAAATCTTACGTTATCCAATGTGTTGCATTTAAGAAAGCGATTGTTTAACCCGCTTTCAAATGTTAAGATTAGAGAGTGATTACATGCAGAACTGTTCTCTAAAGTATGAGTGTAAACTGCGAATTTAAAATTTGAAATTTGAAATTTATTTCTTTGAGTCTTCTAAATCTGTTGCAAACTAAAATTAATTTATTATTATATTTTAATTTAATTTATAGGTCTAACATTCAAAATTTCTTCATTTTTATCGCAAACTAAAATTGAATCTTGGGTTTATACGATGTATTAACCAAACAGTCCATATTTGCATGAACTAATCACAAGTGAGCAAAGACAAAGAGAATAAATTAGTAAGATGATTCACCATTAATAAAGAGAAAAAGAAAGAAAGAGAGAATGGATGATTCATAATTAATAAAGAGAAAAAATAAATGGAGAGAACTGTGAAAAAAGTACATGTAGATGTGAAAAAAGAACAATTTATTAGCGTAGAGGAGATGAAGAGAACATAGAAGACGAAGAGATCCTACATACATAAAAGAGACGAAAAGAACGTACAAAGGTAAAAGAGATTAACTTTGTTAGTAAGACAAAGAGATTCATGAGTTGAGCAGTTAACAAAGAACTACTTTTAAAAATATAGATTTGACAGTGGTTCAACTCTAACTGTCACTCTCTAAATGTTAACACTCTAAAAACTCATTTTTGACGTAGTGTAAGTGACAGAAAAAATAAAAATTTATAACAAAATTAACATTTTTAATAGAAAATAATATATCTAAAACATTTATAAAAGCTAAAAAATTAAAAGACAAAATTGAAACTTTTTTAAAAGTAAAAGATAAAAATACTACTTTTTTTTTTCAACTTTATCTACTATAGTCAAGATAAGTTTAAAATATCTTTATGCAACTATTTAATAAATTAAATTAGCCTAATTTAAAATTAATGTGACTGAGATCGTAGAAAGGATGAGTACCGTTAATTACTAGTTACTAGACTCCACTAACTTGAATAATGTGATTTTGACTCTTGATGAGAGAGGAAATGGACACACATTTCACATATACCTATTTTAAATTACCTAGCTTCCCTCCATATAATACATTATAATAAGTCGGTAATGATTAACTAAAAGCTTAATTAGTGAAATTTAAGAATTCTTGATTCCCACTGCCTAAGACTAGTCCAAAAGGCAACCCCAAATTACGCATCTTTCTTCCAAATTTATTTACCAAATTGTCCCTTCATGTTTCGTATGGATGGCCCCTCTACAATGGAAATCTCATGGTATGATTCGTCACATTTTCGCTGGCACTATCACCCAAAATTGCCAATTCACCGGTCTAACAAATCTCCTCCAGTTCTAAATGATATCTGTTCGATTGTATTGATGTGGGGTGGTGCTCGTGTTGTTTTCTTCAGGCTTCTCGTATCTTTCCGACCACTTGGACTTTACATTGAAACGTGTACGTACACCTACCATAAAAATTTGGAAATGGAAATACACTTTTACAACTTGTTTCTATAGGCGGAATTGAGTTTAGGAGGGGAGAAGAGGAAAGGGGAAGAGTTAGGAGGAGTTAATCTTATTCATGAGTTATTTAATTAAAAGAAAAAGGTTATGATATTTTTTTAAAATCTTTCAAAGTCTTAACGGCTAGTTTTTTGAATTCTTCTAGTTCCTAGGTTTTTTAGGAATTTTTTTTTTTCTTACTTTCTTATACTCTTTCACAGTTAAGATCTTAACTTTTTTTTTAATATTAGATTTTTAAGTGAGAATTTTTTAAAATAATTTATAAAAATAAAAATATTAATTTTAAAATTATGAATTTTTAAGAAAGAAAAATATTTTTTTTGTAAAAATAAAAAATATAAATAAAAGATATAAAATATAATAATATCATTTTTATAATTAAACTCTCAATCACCTTCCTCTTTTAATATTAAACATTTATATAAGGGAAATGTTTAACCTATTTTTTCTTCCTTTCGTCTCTCCTATTTCCCCCTTCAAACTTTTTTTTTACATCCTGCTCCAAACTCCTAGACAAAATCTAAATTATTTCCTTTTTTTTTCTACCTCTTTACGTAACATTTGACTTAACTTATATAATATAATAGAGTTATATGACCAATAACGTGATATTTATTCATTTTCTCTATAATTTTAAATATTAATTTAAAAAAATTAAATAATATAAAAAAATCTATTTAGAAACATGAAAAATATGATATTAATAACACATCTCATTTATATTATATTTTAATCAAATTATATGAGCTAATTAAAATGCTATGGTAAATAATAGATTAAGTTAATAGAATACTATTAGAAAAATCAGATAAAAAATAAAAACTTTGTGTAATTTTTAATATTGGTCATTAAAGGAAAAATAAGTTTAAAAGTTAACTCAAAAGGAAAGCTTTAGTAAAAGAATAAAAAATAAAGATTTTGATAATGACTCAAAATATATGGGTTGTTTGTATGAACATTTTAAGTCAGTTTTTACGTAATTAAAACAATCTATTTCATATAAAACTTGTATCATAATTTTATTTTTAATTTTAAAAATAGCTTTTAATTCACGTTGACTGAAGAGTTAAACTTTGAGATAAGTGTCAGATTTTCAATTCAAACTTCATAAAAAAAATTTAGTATTTTTTTAATTTTAATTAAGAT